ACGCAGAAAACACTTAACGTAGGTAGGGCAAATTATTAACAGGTATAGTTGAACCATGATCGCCGATGTCTGTCGCAGATCTGGCACCGGATGATGATGATAGTTGAACTCATTAATTTGAAACGACCCGCTGTTTGGGTGTTCCTTGAAAGTAGGCCTAATTTAAAAGACAAGCATTAAACTCTTTATTCATACGGAACGTTTAACTTTCAGGGTTTTTTTTTTTTGCCTTTATCTAAAATTTAAAAGACTGGGAATCAAAATCCATTCGGTAGCCTACTATGAAATAACAAAATTTGTGTCGTTTATACGATACACAATATTTATGTATTTATCAAGGATCTTAGAACTCATTTTTAATAATGGTTCGTGCAGCAGCATTTATTGTCTTTCGCCGGCTAATGACCAAACATCTGTGCGCGTTACGTCCTGTAAAGAGTTTTAAAAAAGACGAGCAGTTTTCTGTCTCAGCGTCAGAAACGGGAACATTGTTTGTCCAGCAGTGGCAATCCGGGACGAGTCGCTGTTTAAGCTCAGCAAACAATGTTAAAAATAATATTTCGACCATTATTCCCCTTGAAATAAGGCTGACCCATAGAGTTACCCCCTTTAAACTAGAGTCCGTACGAGGTCACGTGACACGGAAACTTTTGAGTTTGTTGGCGGCCATTTTTAATGTGGCTAAAAAGTTTGTTTACATGTAGTGGGCGTGTCTCTGCTCTTACGAGTTTTATTTGATTATAACGTTGTGTTTTAATCCAAAGTGATTCTCTTAAAGGTGCAAGCATGTGAAACCTCTAGTCCCTTTCTGGATTAACGTCTGATAGGTTCAAATCGAGCATACGTTATATACACAGCCGCTTGGAGCTGTGATTAGAAAGCACAGCTGAGTATGAATTATCTCATGTAGATCTAGTCTAGATCTAGATCTAGATTAGATAGATCTAGATATCTAGATCTAGATTTAGATCTAGAAAGCAGAGCTGTGTATGAATTATCACATGTAAATCAAGATCTAGATCTAGATCTACATTTAGATCTACGCAGATGATACACAGTTGTACAAACCTGTTCCACCATCAGATGTTAAAACCTTGTCTACCAGTACCACCAAGGTATGTGCATTGATGATGTCAAGAACTGAATGATTGATAATAAGCTCCAACTTAATTAAAACAATCCTGAAAGTCTTTTATGTTACTCAAAGAAACGCCATATCCCCATAGACGTCTAGATCTAGAATCTAGATCTAGGTCTAGATATGTAGATCATGTTTGTACGATGTGTAAGCGTGTGCGTGTGATAAGCAAGTAGGTGTGTGTGTGTGTGTGTGTGTGTGTGTGTGTGTGTGTGTGTGTGTGTGTGTGTGTGTGTGCGTGCATTTGTGAATAGTGTTCATACATGCATTTATGTGCAGATTATAAAGCACCTGGAGCCGTGTTTGTGGGCGCTATAGAAATTATCTGCATTATTATTATTATTATTATTATTATTACTATTATTATTGTTATTATTATTTTTATTTTTATTATTATCGTTATTATAACTACATTCTTCATGAAACGATGGTGCAACACTGCTACGTTTATCAGTGTACATGTACTAACAGAGCCTCCAAAGAAACCCCTCTTTCATTTCACTGGTAAGAATAAGATTGATAAGAATTTTGACAGATTAAATCCAGATTTATGTTTTGAAGAAAATATTCGAAAAGATTAGGCTAAGAACCTGGTCTGATCAAAGCCTACCTTTCAGTAAAAATTGATATCAGATCTAGATCTAACCACTGCAATTTTGCCTTGTCTTACTAAAACATCACAATATCCAAGCTAGATTTACTAATCTGAGGTACTAATTTCTCTCACTTGACAATGACTCACTGACTTAAGATATATTTTAAACATAGTAGTAAAACAGTATCATCAATCATAATTATTTTTATGGGAAGATAATGATGATGATGGGTGGGAGCAGCCAAAGATAGGCTCATGTCTAAAATGTTTGATGTCATGTATATGAAATAAATATCTAAGCTTACTAGTGCCAAAGGAAACCATAGCCAGAGTGCTCTTGGTGCTGAGCTTGCTGTGTGCACAGCATTTAATATAATGTGGTTGGCACATTTTCTATTGCTCGAATGGTTTTAAACAACTCATCACTGCTTTTGTCAGGCAGTCCAGTGATGTCTGTTTTCTTTTATTACATCATCTATTTTTAGCGCATAATGTGTCTTATAGACACAAATAGTCACACCGGGTTTCTTTTTAAAACATTAAGAGCCATCAATAAGGTTCAGGGTCATGTGAAATTAAGGTTGACTAGCAGCTAGATCTTTTTCACAATGGGCAGGAAATTTCTTTATCAAACTGAAACAGTGTACTTTTTTAAAAATTGTTTTGTTTTATTGAATGTTGTCCAAAAACACCTAAGTAAAGGTTTTTGTTTCAGTTATCACTACACTATGTAGAAAAACAATTGACCAGGCTACAAAACAACATTTAAGTTCACTTTTTTTTATCTTTAGTGAGTCCAGAGTAGTCACAGTTGTTTTACTAATGTCCCAAATTAAACTTACTTAAAACAGCAATAATAATAGTAATGGATTGCATTTATATAGCGCATATCCACTTATGCAATGCTCTATGCGCTTAACATGATACATATAATGGA